TCCTAAATGGACTACCCTGCCTCAAAATCCTCTCCTCACTCTCTACTTCTCCTTCCCAAAACTACTATCATTTTTTTAGAAAAGAATTTTTGTTACATGAGAACTCAACAATCATCAAAGGTTAGTTCTAGTTCAGTCTGTTGCTAACAACAGAAAATTCCTGAAACTAGATGATTTATAAAAATAGAGGTCTATTCCACTCATGGGTTGGAGGTCTGAGATCAAAGGGCATCTTGCAGTTTCAAAGCAAAAGGGTAAGAGCAGGGCAAAGCGACTATATCCATAAACGTCTCTATGATCTGGTATTCCTTGTCTTTATAAACCCACTGGAACTCAATCATGGGGGCCCCACCCTGATGATTTTAATCCTGATCTCCTCCCTAAGGCTCCATTTCATAATGCCATAATCAGATTAAGCCTTTACCCTCTTAATCCTGTCACAAGCAAATTTCGGAGGTGGGGGGGTGCGGGGGTGGGAGAGACTCAAACCATAGCAAAAGGCTGATTACTGCAAAACAATGTAAAGACTCCTTTGGCTTTCATTGCTTCTCAAAAAATGATCCTACTATGTATAAGTGAATGTACTTTCACTAAACACATCACCATGGTAGACACTGTACTAAGTAGAATGAGATTCCTGAATAAAATCTGCACAGGAATTTAGTTGGCCCCAGTGTTACAATATTACTTTTTTTTAATGATAGTGTATGCATACATGTGCACACATGAGAGAGCAAGCAGCCTCCACAGGGCCTCATCATGTTATGCCCCCCTGCTCCAGTCATCCAGTTCCTTAGGATTTGCGGTGCCCAAGTGTACCAGCATACTTTCAGGCCAACGTGAGGACTGGAACCTTCAGGTCAAGTGGCCTCCAGCTCTACATGGCAATACAGCACAGGCTGCACCAGTACTGGGCTAGGCCCAGTATTACCTAAGATAGTTTTGTATTTGGCCCCCCCCCTTTTTTTTTTTTTTTAAGTTTCTTTTTCCCATAAGGTGCTTGTGCTTGCAGGTGACAGAGAGACAGAGAAAAGTGAGAAATCACTCACCCACCCCCAAGAAGGATAGTCATGCCACAACCCTTTCTTTTCCTCATGGGATTTTGGGCACGCACATATGCCCAGCGAGATTTTTAAGCAACCAGGTCTGGTACTTCGAACAGTGGTTGGTCATGTGGGAGTCCAGTGCCTTAAACACCAAACCACCTGATGGCCTGATAATGAAAGTTTTGAAATTATTTAGTTAAACTACTGATGCATCCACAAAGCAAATTTACTCTTTGGTAAAAGCTATTGCAAATGAAGTTAGAACCCATAATTTTCAAGAAGCAAATGCAGAATAAAGCAAAAGGTTTAGAAAGACTTATATCTACAGAGAAACAGCTAGTTTGCATGGTAGTATCATGGCCATTTCATTTTTTTTTTTTAAAGAGAGATTTTTGCTATAGGATACATGTGCTCGCCAGAGGAAACAGAGACAGAATATGAGAAATCACCCCCAAGGGGGGATGGCCACTCCGCAATTCCTTCTCCATTCTCCTCCCAGGATTTTGGGTACACTGGGTATGCACATATTCTACTGGCTCTGGCACTTGAACCATGGTCAGCCATGATGTAACTGCGACGTTATATCTAGTGACATAATTGGTACACCACCTACTGGTCCCAGGATCATGGGTATTTTGTCTTCCTGTTTTTCTACTATAAACTTTTGTTAAAAACAAAGCAAAACAAAACAAGTTCCCCACCTCTTCCCCACCCCCCTTGGGCCAGAGGGTATATGCATTCATGAGAGAGAGGGGGAAAAAAACACTCCTTAATGGGACATGGTCATGCCACAATCTCACAATCTTTTCCCCTCCACTTCCCCATTCTGTCAGGATTTAGGACACACACACACACACACACACACACACACACGGAATACTTTTTTCAGATTAGGATTCCAACTGTGGTTGACCTACGGAATCTGGTTGTCTGTGCATAGCCCTTAACTACTGCACTAGGGGCCTGCCCCCAAAAAACTGTTCTTAAAAAGTCAAATATAAGCATGGTTCCTGCACTCAGAAAGAGGCACTACAGACTGAGAAGCAGCTATGGGACAGAGGCCTGAAACAGGTTATTTCTGGGGGGTGTGATTCAACAGAGCTTTGGGTGTGTAGACCCAAGTAAAAGAAATGAGGCTGGAAAGTCCAGGAGGTGCTGATCCTTATCTGAATACCATACCAGTTAGTTCAGAAAGTTAGAAGCAACTGAAGAATTTTAAGTAGGAAAGTAGCACTATCAGACTTGCAATTTAACCCTGACAGCTTGCAGAGTGAACTGAAAAGGGCATTTGAGGCAGGCAAAATAGGGAAGTGGCTGAGACGGGTTAAATAAATCCGTATTCAACTAGTACTGATAGGAATGAAGAGGGAAAACTGATCTGACAGACATTTAAGAACTATATTTGCCAGCATGAAGTGACTGGGTATACAGAAGAAAGATCTGTGGTGGCTGCAAGTTTTGGCTTGATAACCAGTTATACAAAGCCATCTTTTTTTTTTTTTTGGAGAGATTTTCACTGTAGGGCGTGTGCGCTCGCCAGACAGACAGAGACAGACATAGAGACAGAAAGCGAGAAATCACCCCCCAGCGGGGATGGTCACACCACAATCCCTTCTCCTCTTGGGATCTTGGGCACACACGCACACGCGCCCGGCGTGAGTTTTAAGCCACCGGGTCCGGGACGCGAACCGCGGTCGACTACGTGGGAGTCCAGTGACATAGCCATTACGCTAACTGCTGGTTCCCACAAAGCCATCTTTAATTAAGATACACAACAATAAAGGAGGAAGAAAGTGGGGGGGAAAGGCAATAAATTCAACTTAGCACCTGTTGGAAAAGTCTGGAATGTTTTCAAGAAGTAGCTAGCAGATTAACATTTATGTCTAATTTTCAGTGACCCATCTTACAGAGGGAGTAAAGAAAGTAGTTGAGAATGCTCACAGAAGTCAAGAGTTCAGTATAAGGCCTGAGCTGGAAATAGAGATAATAGGGGAACAGAGAGATTGCCTAGGAAGTACAGTCTTAAGAGTTAGGATATAAAAAGAAAAAGAAAGAAGGAAGGAAGGAAAGAAGAAAGGAAGGAAGGAACCAAAACAAAATCTTAAATCATAAGATTTAATAGGTGATCATAATAGGAAGAACATTTTTATAGAAAAAGAAGACATTTTGGTCAAGCGGTATCATAGAAGTCAGAGAAGCACATTTCTAGGCGTATTTCATTCAAGTGGAGATCATAATGCAGTTTGTAGAGTTCTAATGGAGGTCAGAGAGCAGAAAAAGAAAATATGTACCAGTACCACTCTTTCAAGTTACCCTGGGGTAGTGAATATTCTAAATTTCATATTTATAACACCGTAAATATCTTACAGGAATCAGTTTAATATCAAAGGTTATTGCCCAGTATCTTGCAACCCTTGGATCCCCAAGCCTAGCGGTTAAGGGAGCCAGATCCCACATGCCTGACCATGGTTCAAATCCCAATCCTTTAGGCTTGAAAAACACACCAGGCCCAGGCCGACTTGCCCCTAATCACTACAGGATGGGGAAATGGAGGAAACAGGATTACAATACAACCATGCCCCATTAAAAGTATCCCAAGGGATACTTTTTCCCTTTTTCCCTCTCTCTTTTGATCTCTGGTAACAGCATGAGAACTCTGACAATTATGAAAATATACGCTTATGGGGCCAGCAGGTGGCGTAGTGGTTAAAGGTGCTGGACTACCATATGACCAACCATGGTTTGAGTCCTGGCCCTGGCAGCTTGCTTTCTCTTTCTCGCTGTCTGGTCAAATTAAAAAAACATAAAGCAAAAACACAAAAAAAAACAACTAGTAATAATGATAATAAATGGAATGAAATAAAAATATTTAAAAGTGTGTGTGTGTATATATATATATATATAGTCTTAGAATTACAGTTCATAATTTAAGAAAAATACAAATGACTTTGGAGAAATGCCATAAAAGACAGGCCAACAGTACACGTTTTCCAGTATTTGATCTTTGAGGTTAGCACCAAGAACATTTTGTGGGAGAGCATGACTTCCTAAAACCAACCTCAAAGAGGTTGTGTCTCCAAAATACCTAGCTAAGTCTCCTTTTTTTCTCTATAGGGCACATGAGCTTGCCAGAGAGACAGAGAGAAAACAAGAAATTATCCCCCAGCGGGGATGGCCACAGCACAATCTCTTCTCCTCCATTCTTCTCTTGGAACTGGGCATACACCCGCATGCACCCAACATGAATTTCAAGCCACCAGGTCTGAGACTCCAACCATGGTCAGAGTCCAGTGCCCCAATCACCACACTATCTGCTGGCCGCCTAGCTTCTTCTAATGACTTTCTTTTTGAAGAATTACTTTAACTTCAGTATTATTATCATCATTATTTTCCAATTTGACCAGAGACAGACATGGGGAAAGTGAGAAAGGAAGCCACTAGGTCCAGGACTCAAACCATGGTTGGCCATGCGAGTCCAGTGCCTTTAACCACAACACCACCTGCCGGCCCCTCTAATGACTTTTTATTAATAAATACTTCCAAACTCTAAAACAGTTTATTTTTAGTTTCACATCTACTTTAACTGTCTGCTAAAGTTTCTCTCCTAGTTTTTCTAGGCTTCCCACCCTAGTTCTCATGTTGTGACATGTGATCAAAAGTAAAAGAAATATGAAAAAGAGCACACGGTAGAGCTAGACCTCGTTTAAAATGTTAACTCTACCACTCACCAGTCACATGACCCCAGGCTAATCAGTTAAAATTCCCTGTTTCCCATATAGAAAAAAGGGATACCATTTGTTATTTGCCTCATAGGCCTGTGCCGCATTTTAACACACTGCCTGGTACAGTAGACACTCAATATAGTTTCCAATCTTCCCTTCCACTATGCCTTACGAAAATTCTTTAAGAGTTTAAAACAAAACCAAACTTCATCTTTTGTGTTTCCCTTTTCAGATCCCAGTCTTCAATTTTCTCAGACAGAAGCAATTAAAGGTGAATATAGGTCCAGTCCACTTAAGATTAATTGCCTGCCAAAGGTCCGATCTTTTGGAACTGGATTTCCGATTAAGAGTGTTCACACCATGGAAGGATTACTAAGATAACTCGGCACTCCAATGGCTCCTTCAAGGTTATTTAGGTTAAAATTATCCAAACCATTTGTGCCTTGGCCTTGTCGCTCAGAAATCTATTCGGCAGCACCTGTCAACTCATCTCTCAAATGCACAGCTCCCTGCCAGGCCACCCAGCCTGAGACTCCTGAGTAAGGAACACGGGGACCCAGGGAGGGTACAGGCACTGACAAGCCTGGTTTGACTGTCTTCTGCTACCTGATTCAGTAGTCTCTCTGCGACTGAGTCCAGACTTAAAAACGAAAGAGGAATAAGTGAGGCAATCATTCTTTGTTGTCGGTTTAGATAAGGCCTTTCTGACAATGGGCAGAATATGACATTTCTGTCTCCTTGCACTTGTTGGATAAAAACATGTACTGTGTCAGAAACCTTCAGAGAAGACTGGCCACAGGAGTTGCTGTTCACTCTATCTAGTCTCTCCCCAACACTGGCGATCGATTTTCCCAATGTCTCCATTCTTCCGCTACACTCTGAAAGCTGGCATCTGCTCACAAGTCTGGGGAAGTTCCCGAAAACTATTAAAACTACCCCGTCCCTAAAAGACTAACAGAAAGTGGGGCCTCCGAGTGGACAGAGGTTTTCTTAAAAAAACAGTATTTTAAAAGGAAAATCAAGAACGATGCATGTCACCACCGGCTGGGCTTAAAGGTTGGCTCAGTGACAAACGGGATCGGGCTTACATAGGCCAGGCAACTCAAGTCATCGCTCGGCCTGGCCCCACTAACGCGTCATGTCCTGCTGCCTACCTGTATCCCGGGCTAAACCCCGGCCCAGCGCTGCTGCAGCCGCCGCGTCCGCCCCGCCTGCCTGTTGGCGTCGCCGCCGCCCTCGAGGTCACCGCAGTTCTACCGTCCCAACGCCTGTAGGACACAGCGGGACAGGTAGCTCAGTCACTCCGCGCCACTCTTCACGTAGGCTCGGCCGTCCGTTACGTAGAATGCTTGCGGCTGGTCTGCGCCTGCGCGCACCGTGGGGGCGGGTCGCAGCCTCCGGTACTGCGCGAGACCTTGCCCTCCCCGGACGAGCTGAGGTTAGGTGGGGCTGCTGGGAAAATTACATAATCCCCGCCCCTGGGCTCCTTCCACACGAGTTCCGTCAACTCGACGTCACACCGGAAGCTAAAGGTGGCCATTCTCTATGAGACCACGTGGCCAGAAGCTTGCGGCGAAATGTTGCTCAAGTCGTTTTTGCAAGGGCCCAGAGTTTAGGAGATCGGCATTTTTATGTAAATGTGGTTTCCACTCAGCTCTTTTCTCTTGGGATTCTTGGGCGGCTTCTTGTCACTGCCACTCTTTCTAAATCCCCAGACCCACTTTGCAGACGGGCGGTGAACGCTTTCCACCCAGCAGCAGTGTCCTGTCAAGAGTCAGGAACCCGCGAAGCGTTCCGGTGCCGGCGGCGTCTTCCGGGAGCCGTAGCCTCAGGTCCCGCCCTTCGGCCCGCGCTGTCTTCACTGCGCATGTCAGGTCTGCGTTCCCCTCCCCCAGACGGCAACGGGCCGAGAGGCGGTGGCGGCGGCGAAGGGGGCGGAGAGGGAGGAGCGCGGCGGCACAGGGTCCGGACCGCGCGTACTTTGGGCTGTGGGATTCTCTCCGCGCCGGCGATAGTCGCAGCTGCCGCCTCCGCTGGCGGAACACGGTTTGG